CCGTTGCCAAAAAAAAAAAAAAAAAAAAAAAAAAAAAAAAAAAAAAAAAAAAACCACCTCCTCTGAAGAATATGGGATAGCATGAGTCCATAACCTAGCGCAGTTACAATTTTTGTATCAGTTGCCTCAAATTTGTCTATTAAATTTCTCTTAGGCAGGGTCATGGGAAAATCTTCTGAGCGGGTTAGTTTCTCCAATTTCTTTTATTTTCTTATAATAATCTCAAACTTTGCCAATTCTGATTTACTATTTCACTTTGAGAACTACAGAAAGTTAATTGACTCAGTGTTCTTATCTACAGTTCAAATCCACCTGCAAGCTTTTAGATGGGGAGAAACCGTAATCACACACTCTTAAATAAATACAACAAAATTACCAATATGCTCAAACTAGAGAGCAAAGATTTTCAGAGAAATATTATTTTTTCTTCCCCAGAGATGCAAATCTGAGGCAAAGATGCAGATACATTCTGTTTTTAAATGCCCACTGTATAAAGGTTGGATCATGAACTAGGAATAAAATGCAGAAAGGGAAAGGGATGAAGAATCCCACACAGTAGAACTTGCATCTGAGGTGCTGCTGAAACACGTAGCTGGAGATATTCAATAAGCAGGTTAAAATATAGATCTAGAGCTCAGACCAGAGATTTTGGCAGATAATTATTTTGAGGTAAAAGCTTGGATGGTTGTAAGCATTAAAGGGAAAAAGTGAGAAAGTGAAGTCTGAAAAGTGTGGTGGGGAGTTGGGAGATGGCCAGTTTTGTCTGGTGGTCCCACCATACCTGAGGGATGGGAAAATACTCTTGAGCTTCTTCCAAGGGGATAATACTCAAGAGCCATGTAAGAGCACCAGGTTCTGATTAGGAGGGGAAAGAAATAATTTCTTAAAAAGTTAACAATGTAGGGAAGTTGATTTACAATGGAATAAGGGTTGTAAATAGTATGAGAAAGGGCTAAGAGGAAGGGAAGAAAAAGATAACGTCAATATGAGGAAGAGCAGAACAGCATTTCCCAACCAGGATGCAAGCTCCTTGAGCACAGCAATCATTTCTTCCATGCCCACACAATGTGAGTTCTCAAAGATGTTGACCAACTCTTCCACAAAGCAACCTGAATCCATCAGGGAGAAGAGCATAATGTTTCCCAGGATGCTAAATAGAGCAGCTGTATAGCATTTATACAGCTATTCCTAGAGTCCTATGTGATGCCTGGGATAAAGACACTTAGAATCATTTGTATAAGCTGGTACTTATTGTAAAGCCGTGACTACGCACTTAAATTATAGCAAACTACAGTACAAATTCTGATTCAGGATTTATCATTCCTTATAGGCTATTGGTTAGAAATGAGTCATAATCACCAGTGATCAAATTATACTATTAATTAATTATAACTGGAGAATTCAAGATAAACTGAGGTCTGATGGATCTAAGTATTTCTCATATGGTTTTGTGGCCAGAGCTTATACCTGCATTTCATTTTATTTCAGAGACATAACAGTGTACTGTGATTGTTATTGTTTTTTTTTTTACTTATGATGATAGAGGAAGAGTGCAATCGTTACCCAGTAATATTTCCTAAGGAAAACACTACAAGTACATATCTGCTTGAAATGGCCATCACAACTATCAAAGGTAGGATCAGGAACCCAAACTCTAGAGAGAGTGAGGCCAACTAACTATACTGATGTATTATTTCAGATATTTCAAACATCAAATTCCTGAAAACTAATGCACTGAATGCCATACATATATATCTCAAGTACTGTGACCTAGTTTTTCAGAATATCAGAAATACTCTGATAATCTAAACTCCTTAACACTTTTTTACCCACTTCAAAATTTCCCAGATTCATGTCTAGGTTTTCAAAGCCAAAGGACAGCTGAAGAGGAGACAAGTACAAACTCTTTGCAAAGACTTAGTCATGGCTTAAAAAGTTATGTATAGATAACAAGGGGAGGAAAATCTCTCTCAAGCTTTGAAATTCTTATAGCACAAAAGCCCTCAGAGAGTGGAACATTGTTTTCTCCCATTAAAAACGTTATGATCTAGAACCATGGGCCCCAGCCCCCTCTTCCCAGAAGCAGGCAAGAGAACATGCTGAAAACATCACTTCCACACAGATGGTCCACCATAGCTACTGCCACAGCAATGGCTGCCACAAAAGTGGTTCAACACTACAGCAGCAACCACAGTCACCATGCAGGCAGCCCCCAGACACTTGACTGCACCAACACAAGGAGAGTCACCAGCAGACAGCAGAAAAAAAAGGACATCTCTCTCCTCAAAGCCCACTCCAGAGTAACAGGAGAAGCAACTACTCTACCAGATGACCAGACATCAAAGTAGAGATACTTGAAATACAAAAACCCAACAAAATATGACACCACCAAAAGAATACAGTAAGTCTCAAATACCAAACCCTATAGAGCAGGAAACCCTTGAAATGAGTGAAAAGTAATTCCAAGCAACAATCTTAAGGAAAGTCACTGAGATACAAGAAGACTCAGACAACATAATGAAACAAGAAAAAAAAAATGTAGAATATGAAGGAGGAAATTTACAAAGAGATTAATACCTTAAAAAAGAATGTAGCAGAACTCATGGAATTGAAAGATTTACTCAGTGAAATAAAAAACACAGCTGATAGCTTAAGCAGCAGGCTAGAACAAGCAGACAAAAGAATTTCTGATCTTAAAGATAGTCTTTTCAAAAAAAACCCAGGCAGACAAAATAGGAAAAAAGAATTTTAAAAAAATGAAGAAAATCTAAGAGAGCTCAAAGAGAACCTTAAGCACACAAATATTCGAATCATGGGTGTTCCAGAAGGGGAGGAGAAAGGAAAAGGCATGGAAAGCCTATTCAACAAAGTAATAATGGAAAACTTCCCAGGTACAGGGAGAGACACAGACATTCAAATCCAGGAGGTTCAAAGATCCCCAAACAGACTGAACCCAAAATGATCTTCTCCAAGACACATTATAGTCAAACGGGCAAAACTCAAAGACAAAGAGAGAATCTTAAAAGAAACCAGAGAAAAGCATCAAGTCACATACAAGGGAGCCCCTATCAGACAAACAGCAGACTTCTCAACAGAAAGTCTGTAAGCCAGAAGAAAATGGGATGATATATTCAAAATATTGAAAGACAAAAACTGCCAGCCAAGAATACTATATCCAGCAAGGCTATCCTTCAGAAATGAGGGAAAAATAGTGTATTTTCCAGACAAACAAAAGCTGCAGGAGTTCACCACTATACGACCAGCACCTATGAGAAATCCTCAAGGAAGTCCCGCATATGGAATCCAAAAAACAATAATCACTACTATGACTAAACAAGAAAGAACAAAACCCACTGGTAGAACAAAAATGCAAATGAGAAGGAAAAAGAAACTAAATCTTATACCACCACAAAAAGCCATAGTGACAATGTAATGATGCCCTTACTTTATTTCTGATTTTAGTAATTTCAGTCTTTTTTCTTGATCTAGATAAAGGCTTACAAATTTTGTTGATCTTTTTAAAGAATCAACTTCTGGTTTTGTTGATTTTCTCTAGTTTCTTAATTACCTATTTCATACAATTCTGTAGTAATCCTTGTTATTTCCTACTTATATTTATTTTTGGTTTAGTTTACCCTACTTTTTCTATTTTTCTAAATAGAGGTTTACATTACTGATTCAAGATTTTTCTTATTCATAATATAGGTATTTACAAGTATAAATTTTCCTTTGAGCACTGCATGGGCCCTTCATCCTATAAATTTTGATATGTTGTGCTTTGATGTTTATCTCAAAGTACTCTCTAATTTCCCTGTGATTTTTTTTTTTTTTTTTCCTTTTTTGTCTTTTTTTCGTGTCTGGAAACGGACCGCAACCCCCAGTGTCGCGCCCGTACCAGCCCGGGACCGGCAACGGGATCGCAACCCTTGGTGCTGCGCCCGCACCTCGCTCAGCCAGGGAGCGGCCGGTCTGTATGTGGGATCCGAACCCTCGGCGGGAGCGCTGCCGCACTTCCCAAGCGGCGCACTGTTGCAGTGCGCCACCGGGCTGGCCCGATTTGTTTTTTTTTTTTAACCCATTGGTTTTTTAGGAGAGTGCTGTTTAATTTCCACACATTTGTGAGTTTTCTAAATTTCCTTCTGTTATAGTGGTCAGAGAACATATTTTCTATGATCTTAGTCTTTTTAAAAAAGAAAAAAGGAAAAATGTAAACAAAAGTTCACGGAGATTTCTATTATCTTCCAATTCTATTTTCCACAAACTTTTTGAAGTGCTCTTGTGTTTATATTCTGTTTTATTGATTTCTTTATGCAATTTATCTTGCTAAACTTAGATATTTAATCTAACTTCTTGATTTTGTTTTATTAAGTGGACTTGCTGATTTGCTTAGAAATTAATTTGCCTTTGAAAAATTAATTCATCTTCCTGTATTGAAATTAATTTGATATTGGCATGCTTTTGGAAGACTTTAGAGAGCTATTTCAAATAATTATAGAGATTATAAAATGAAATATGCAAATTTTAATAAGTTTTACATCTCTGGTTTTGGTGAAAATTTGGAGCCCTACTTTCTACAGAGTACTCTGTTATTCATCTGTTATTCAGTTTATGTATTTGTTATTTGAACAAATAAATGTGCACATCCTTGTTAAAAAAATAAATAAAATAAAATGTTTTTAAGTAAAAAGAAAACCTTTATGATCTGGGTTATTCAGCTTTCTTTGTGCATGTACAATAAAGGGTAATACAATTTTTTAAAATTTTATAGTCTTAAGAAAAAAAAACTAAGGAAGATTATAAATCTCTACTACCTTGCTGATAATAGTCACTCTAATTATTATAAAAAGCACAATCCTTTTGGGTGGGGGGGGGCAGGGCGGGTATCAGGCCAGCACAGGGATCAAATCCTGGACCTTGTTGTTATCAGCACCACGCTCTAACCAACTGAGCTAACCGGCCAGCAATATGAACAATCTTATTAGATGAAAATAACAGGAGGTATGTTAGACAGTAACTGCACATAAGAATAAGACAGCAAAGCAATGCATTGTGTCTTTTGCATAATCACAATAAAAAATTAACAATGCCTAGATGGAGTGCCTAGATGGTTTTCCGAAAAAGCAAAATTAACTAGCAATAAAACAGCCAGCTACACTTTTTACCACAATGTGTTACTAGAAAATGCATTCTAAGAGGATTGTTACACACGTTTTTTTCCCGTTAGCAACCACATTATAGCTGTTAATTTCACACCTGATCAAAGACACATTAAATAATTAACTGTTGTGACCAATGAAATGCCAAAATTATATTACTAATATAACCCTTGATAATCATTTAAAAAAGTAAAAACCATTTTAAAAGGCCTATGAAATGAATATCAATGTTCCATACTTGTTGATATTACAAAGAGATGCAAAAAAATATCGATCAGAATTCCAACAAAATAAAGATATCAAATTCAACCTGAAAATATTGTGCCTGCCATAATAAACACTGAAGAATTAATACAACTTTGTTTTCCTTTTTAGAAACTTTCTGAAGATGACCTACATGAATGGGTGAATATCCAAAACGCTAGCTATCCAAGAAAATATCAACTAATGCCTTTGTTTTCTCTAATTTGAAAAGACACTTGGGTTTATTTTATTGAATTAAATTCCAAAGTACAATCATTTTTTCTAATAAGAGACCAGGCTCTCCTGACAGTATGTGAGACAACATGCTAATGCACTGGTACCCTTTGCCAGGAGCAGCAGTAACAAAGTAGAAAAGGACCTCTCTCCTAAGGAGGAAACTGAAGCCTCCAGAAGTTAATGACCTGTCTAGGGTTCTGCGGCAAGAACCACAGTCCAGGTACAATATTCTTTGTGGGGCATCCAGTCCAACATTTGTTCTGGGACATCACAGTATCTCAGGAAAAGAAAATATTTTAAAGTTCCTAAAATACTTTATTTCCAATCCTATCAAACACACTAATCAAAATGTCATCAATACTTAAAGCATTCTTGCTAAGCTAGATTAATCCCTTTATCTTATATCAGCCATGTAAGACTGTCTCCCTAACTTTCTCACTAAAAAAATAAACTATGATGACAAAAGCCATCACACTGAGTTTTATGAAGCTTTTTGGCTATAGCTATGGCACCTGACCATGGCATGCAAGTTGGAGATATGCCCATGAAGTAAGGACAACTATGTTTTTAAAGAACACGAATAATAAAATAGTATTCCTTATGGTCTTAACTCCTTTGACCTTCATTAATTAAATTCAATTTTTAATGGAAAATAAGATAGTAAAAAGTACTATTAAGTTGTCACCTATTATGGTACCTTGGCAGCTTTATTAACCTTGTCTTCATTTTCTCTCTTATACACAAAAACTGAAGCAAATTTGCCATCCTGAAGTACAGCGGGATAAACAGCAAGTCCAGAGGGTAAGACAAATGGTGGTTCTTTCAGTGTATAGCTCTTTAAAGCACTGTTCTCTGATCCCATCCCTTATGCAGTGAGGCAGTACAGCAGCTCCTCCTCAAAGCCAAGCAGATCTAAAAGAAAACAGAAAACAATTTCAAACATTAAATCTCTAACTGCCACATGAGCAAGAGATATCCAGGAAATCCAGACATAGTCCCTCAACCTTACTAGTTTCTGCAACTCTCAGGATATTTGACAATAAAAATGGTAAATGTTCGGCAAGTTACTAGCAATGCTTGTTAATTAATAACTAACAACTCTAGAGAAAATGCACATTACCAAGTAGTTACATTTAGTTATCTTCCCCCAAAACCCCCACAGGCAAACTTTCAAAGTGGAAAGGCAATCAAAAATAAGGTAATTCATACCCCCTCACATATCCTGTCTTAAAAAGGAAAATGTTGCAAAACTAGATTATTCAAAAACAATAAAATTTCTGTATGTCTAAAATAACTTTTAATTATAAAAACAATACAAACTGGAGAATATTTGTAACAGTGATGAAAAACATGCTAACAAATGGAGAGAACGTGTAAACCAAGTAAAACACTAAAACACTGGGAGAATAATGGGAAAGAAAACACACAACTCATTGAAGAAGTGATGAAAAACATGCTAACAAATGGAGAGAACGTGTAAAGCAAGTAAAACACTAAAACACTGGGAGAATAATGGGAAAGAAAACACACAACTCATTGAAGAAATACAAATGACAATAAACATAAGAAAAAGTGCAATCTCACCACTGTTCAAAGCCACGCCAAGTAAAAGGGGGGAACTGCAAAACTGTGTAATCTCAAGTGCTAAAAAACAGACACACACATACATAAAATTCTAGAAAATGCAAATCTACTCGACAGAAAATAGATCAGTGGTTGTGCGGGGTGGGAGGGCATAGTTAGAGGGACCAGGGGATAGGCAAGGATTACCAAGGAGTATCAGAAAATTTGGGGGGGATAGATATATTCACTATCTTGATTATGATGATGGTGATGGGTGATTATAAGAGTCAAAACTTATAAAACTGTACAATTTATGTTCAGTTTATTCTATATCAATTATACCTCAATAAAGTTGTTTTAAAAAGAGATATAAATACATGCATACACAGACAGAAAGACAAAAAAAAATTTGCTAAAGTATTAACAGAAGTTTGCCATGGTGGGGTCAGACTGGCAGTAATTTTATATACACACACACACACGCCAGCAACTTCCGAATCTTCAATAATATGAACATATCTTTCTTTACAACAGGGATACAAACTCACATGGTTACAATAGGTAATGCACAGTAGTCCAACAGTATTGCTACAGTAGCAAAGGGCCTACTGTATGTGCACAGTCACCTACTGTGACAGGGCTGGCATTCTGAAACCAGGAATGCAGTTCCAGGGTTGTCAGATCATGAGAAACCAAGAACCTGAATATTTATGTGGAAATTTCCATATTTTTCAATGGTGGCTCAATTTTTTTTAAAACC